TCTGCTTAGTGCACAAGACATTAAGGAGCTATGGAATTGGAATGGCTCAGTACCCACTGCAGTCCACGAGTGTGTGCATGATATAATTGGGAACACAATGAAAAGACAGCCTCAAGCAATGGCAATATGTTCTTGGGATGGAAGCTTGACGTATTCTGAGCTGGATAATCTATCATATCGTCTGGCATCTCACTTGGTCGCTCTAGGTGTTCAACCTGGAAGTATAGTTCCTCTCTGCTTCGAAAAGTCAGTGTGGTATCCTGTTGCAGCTCTTGGCGTAATGAGGGCTGGAGGGACATGCATCGCTATGGACTCGACTCAACCAGAATTGCGACTGAGATCAATTGTCCAACAGGTTAACCCTAAACTGATTCTGTCTTCTGTTAACAATGAAGCGTTGGCAAGCCGCCTCTCCGAAACTACTGTGGTCAGTATTGATCGTAGTCGCATTCCAGAAGCGCCCACGGACTTCATGCTACCCAATATTAGCCCTTCAGACTTATTATATGGTACGTCTCATTCGATTCTACTTTCATTCAACAAGTCATTATGCTGACGTTAGTGATATGAGTAGTTGTATTCACAAGCGGATCCACAGGCGTGCCTAAAGGCATATTGACGACACATGAAAACTTTGCCTCTGCAGCTACCCATCAAAAAGATATCCTGCATATACATGAAGGAACCCGTGTCTTTGACTTTGTATCATATAGTTTTGATGTTTCCTGGTCCAACCACCTACAGACATTGATATGTGGAGGTTGTCTATGTATTCCATCAGAGTGGGAGCGCAAAAACGACATCGCCGGCGCGTTCAATAGGATGAAGTGTGATTATGTGTATTTTACACCTTCGGTTGCCCGATCCCAGGAGCCATCCTCGATGCCTGGCATCAAGATTTTGGCGATGGGAGGCGAGCCTATTCAGGCATCTGAAATATCTCGCTGGACTCAGGCGGAAACTGTTATAGGAATTTATGGGCCAGCCGAATGCGCTCAAGCACTATCGTTTGCTTGCCTGGACTCCAAAACACGGAACAATCACGTCGGAAATCCGTTTGGTGCGAGGACTTGGCTCGTACAACCAGGTCGCCCAGACCGCCTTGCCGCTATTGGCACCGTTGGAGAGCTCATGATTGAAGGGCCAACCGTTAGCAAAGGATACTTTGGCGATACAAGCAAGACGAAAGCAGCCTATATTCAGGATCCGACATGGCTCTCGCTAGGCGCGGGGCAACATCCAGGGCGTCACGGTACACTTTACAAGACCGGTGATCTCTTGCGCTACAACTCGGATGGGTCCATGGACTTCTTGGGGAGGAAAGACGGTCTAATCAAGCTTCGAGGTCAACGAATTGAGCTGGCGGAAGTGGAATATCATGTACGCTCCTGTCTCGGCGATCCCAGCTTGTGTGATGGCATCGCTGCGGAGATCATTGTGCCACAAAATGGCACCAACCCAATTCTCGCCATTTTCTTGAGCCTTTCTGAAGAAAATACAATCCAACTCAAGGAAGACGTACAGTCAAAGCTTAGACGAGTCATGGAAGGGTTGGAAGAGAAGCTATGGGATCGTGTTCCGCAGTAGTAAGTATTTCCTTGGCTTTCAATATGAGTGTATGGGAAATTGCTGACTTGATTCCGTATAGTATGGTCCCTGGAGCATACATTCATGTAGGAAAGATTCCTATGACAACCACAAACAAAACAGATCGACGGTCTCTACGGGAACTTGGAAGTAAGCGAACCCTAGAGCAGCTTGTGGAACTACAATCTCATGGGAAACCGCGAATCTTGCCATCCACTCTAATGGAAAAAAGGCTTCAGACCTTATGGTCTTCTGTTCTTGAGATCAACGCTGAAAATATTGGTGCTGAGAGTAGCTTTCTCCGTATTGGCGGAGAGTCAATTGCCGCTATGCGACTAGTCTCAGCGGCACGGGAGCAAAACTTGTCGCTGACCGTTGCAGACATTTTCAAGTCACCGCGTTTGTCCGAATTGGCATTATTGGTCAAAGAAGTCAAGTCTGATGAATATTCCCATTTGCCATCGCCATTCTCCTTACTAGAATCTGATGACCCGCAATCCTTCCTGAAGAAATTTGTAGAGCCGGCTCTGGATGTTGATCTTGAAGCTGTCAAGGACGTGATTCCCGCAACAGATTTTCAAGAACGCTCAATATTAGATGCACTTCAGGACCCGCCGAACAGATATCCTCATTGGATTTTTGACCTACCTGCTGATGTGGATTTCCCAAAGCTTGAGCGCGCTTGCTTCGAACTATTGAATCATTTCGACATCCTGCACACTGTCTTCATCCGAGCTAATGGCCGTTTTTGGCAAGTTTTATTATCGAACTTCAAGCCAGTATACGATCATGTAGATGCAGACAACCAAGATATGGCATTGTTTATAGATTCAATCTGCGGGAAAGATCTCAAAAGACCTCGACAATTGGGTCGTTCATTCATCCGTTTCATCAGTGTCAAACACGCCTCAGGCAAGCATAAGCTTGTGTTCAGAATCTCGCATGCTCAATTTGATGGCTTTAGCTGGGGATTGGTTCTTCAAACTCTGTCGCTTATCTATAATCAGCAACAGCTATTGCCATATTCATCTTTTGCCCAGTTTATTTCCTTCAATGAGACGAAGAAGAGAGAAAGCAAGTTTTACTGGACTTCAAGGCTTCATGGATCATTATATCCAACATGGAGTTTCAGCGACTCAGCAAATAACACATACAGTACAGATGACAGATTGACAATAAAGAAAACAATTCCAATGCTAAACACTCAGAGCATTGGAGGTTTTACGCCTGCGGTGATATTCCATGCTGCGTGCGCAATCGCCCTTTCTCGCCAGTTTGATCAACAGGACGTGGTGTTTGGTCGCCTTGTGACCGGCCGTTCAATGCTACCAAGCCATCTCCAAAACGTTGTGGGCCCCTGCATGACAGAGGTCCCGATCCGAGTGTGTATAACTACAAACAGCACTCTCGCCGAAGTTGCTTCGCAGCTACAAAGCCAATTCATTGAAGATTCGTCACATGAAGCTGCAGGGATGGTCGAGATCATAAGAGACTGCACAAACTGGCCACAAAATGTAACGGATTTTGGCTGGCGAACATCCTTCCAGCAGGAAGAAGAAACTGAGTTTTCATTCTTGGGGTTACCTAGCACTGTTTCATTTTATGAACGACCCTTACTTCCTCGCAATCGTCCTGAGATATACGCCACGCCGCGAGAAGGAAGCCTTGATCTCGAATTTGAAGGCAATCGGAAACTTACATCCGAAAGTACAGTAATGAACTTTTTAGCAGAGCTTCAATATATATTACGAGTATAGAGATAGCTATATATAAAATAGTAATAATACTATTTTATCTTACTATTCTATATTAAGTTATAATGTAACTTAATAAAATTAAAACAAAAGCGTTAGTTAAGCTAGAACAACTAATTTAATATTTCTCAGCTTACACATACTGCGCAGAACTCAGGGACACATACGCGTGTACCAGAAGGTCTCAGTTTCTGGCAGTATCATCTGGTCCTCCTAACTCAGCATTACCTCAACGTTCTCCTTGAGCTTTGACAACTCCGCCCTCTGCTTCTCGTAGAAGTCATAGTTCAGCTAACCCTTTGCGACGCGACCCACGATGAAGCTCGGACATGGAAAGTCTGCTCGTGCCTGTCAGAATGTGCCGACAGATCCGATATTTCCACCTTGACAAACACAGCGTATGTGATCGGCCGGTGCACATATACCGGGTTGTCGGAGTCGCCAGCAACGTTGGTCGTGAAAACCGCGTTAACGAGGAACGTGTCGGATAGTACCGTGTCTGTCCACGACCCGTCGCAATGGAAATCGCCATTTTCCATGGCCTCACGACACCTCTCCGTGGACTTTTGTAGCAGGCATAGTTTCAAAGCGGGCAATGCCTTAAGCACGCCAGAAAAGAAGAACTCGTCGTCCACGGCCTTGAGTTAACAGTGCCCAATGTTGTACTTTTTATTTTCTTGCCAGCAGCGGGAATATAGCCAGAAGACATTAATAAGCCAAAGACAATATAGTGAAGTATAACTATAACTAAAAGCTGCTTAAATATAAAAATGCTAGAACTTATAAATAAATAAATCTAGATATAGCAAAAACCTTTTACTTTTTGAATACTGCTAAAGAAAATAATTATATTCTTTAATTTACCTAGGTAATAGTATTATTTTGATTTTTATGATAGTATTTTCTATTAATTTTATTTAGCTGCTAATATTATTTCTTATATTTAGTTATATAATCAAGCTATATTTAATTAATTTTAAAAGATAAATAATGTAATAATTATTAAAGCAGGAAGTATTTTTATATATAAAATCTATAAATCTTGTTTAATATAAAAGCTTTAATAAATTTAAGTAAAGCTAATATAATCTAGGGTAAGTAAGTGCTACTAGTATAAACTAATAAAAACAATATTATATATACTAGCCTAACTTTTAAAATTATACTTTTTAAAATACATTGTATAATTTATATTACCTATAAATTTCCCTAACCTATTTGCTAATATAAACCTAACAAACTTATCCTAGGCTTATCCTTTAAGAATCTACCCTATACTAACTATCTAGTGTATAGTTAGTTATACCTTTAGAAAGTATATTCTATACTAATCGGATAGGATCCAGCTTGCTATACTATTATCCTTAACATACTGTAGAGCTTGCTTCATTACCGGAACTCGGTCAGCTAACGGATCGACATCCGTCCCGATACCATCAACTTCCACCTATATCCTTACAGGCCGGGTACCGGGGCCGAGGATATGTTGAAGTAATGCTAATGCTCCAATTTTGATTTATTATAACACTCAGCTAATAATTTCCTAGCTCGGCATTTATGTCACTGCGCCTGTGAATGGTTGCATTATAGTTGGGTCTGCTTTATAACAACCTTGCACCTCGCTACCTACACCTCGTCCACCTTCTCTTGCTGTATCACACAGCTCATACCTTATTATTACTTCACTCCACCCCCCCGACACTAGGAAAACAGTAACACAACGCCACAGCATCATGGCCAAGGAGCATCACCGCAATATTGTTCAGCTGGTGGCGGACGACTTGGGTCTGATGCTGGGCTGCTATGGCCTTCAAGCCATCAAGACACCTAACATCGACCGCCTGGCCTCGCAGGGCACGCGGTTCACCCACGCTTTTGCCAGCACCGCCTCGTGTAGCGGCAGCCGGTCCACCATCTACACTGGCCTACACACACATCAAAACGGGCAGTACGGGCTCAACCACGGCTGGAACCACTTCCAGACACACGAGCACATCGAGACCCTCCCGCGCATCTTCAACGCCTTGGGATACCAGACGGGAATCATTGGCAAGGTCCATGTTGGGCCCCATGAGGTATACCCATGGGAGTGGTTTGCGCCCAGCCACAGCCGCGATGTGCTGGCAATGGCTGAGCAGGCTGGTCAGTTCTTCGACAAGGCTTCCGAGACCGGACGGCAGTTCCATCTAACGGTGGGCTTCCGCGATCCGCATCGCGACGCCACGAGGATGGGCTTCGGGAACGAAGACAGCGAGGTGGCGGCTATCACTGTGCCTGACTACCAGCCTGAGGCGGTGGAGATCCCCGAGTTCATCAGCGATGTGCCTGAGCTGAGGCGGGAGCTGGTGGAGTACTACAAGTCCATCAGCCGCATGGACGTCGGCGTCGGCAAGATCTTGGAGGAGCTGGAAGCAAGAGGCCTCTCGGACAACACGCTCGTCATCCTTGTCAGCGACAATGGCGCTCCTTTTGTCAACTCCAAGACAACCCTATACGACGCCGGCGTTAAACTCCCTCTCATCGTCCGCCAGCCAGGCGCCAAAGCCGGCGTTGTCAACCCTAACCTGGTCTCCTTTCTCGATATTCTGCCAACCTGCATCGACTGGGCTGGTAACCCGTCCTTCCAGACGGCCCAGAGCGACACCTCGCCCCCAAGGCTGGGGACCTCTTTTCTGCGCATCCTCGATGTTGACGAGATTCTTCCCAAGGACAAGTGGAAGCAGTACATCTTCGGCTCGCATACCTTCCACGAGATCCAGAATTACTGGCCCACGCGCTTCATGCGTGATCGCAAGTACAAGTACCACCGCAACATTGCCTGGCGGCTCGACTTTCCCTTTGGCACAGACTTGTACGGCAGTCTAAGCTGGGAGGGCATCCGCAACAGCGTAGTACAACCAGAAGCCGTGGCCGAGGGTGACACCCCGGAAGTTATGATTGGGCGACGCCGCCTCGCTCACTACCTCTTCCGCGGCCCAGAGGAGCTTTTCGACCTAGAGGCCGACCCAGAAGAAGTCAACAACCTAGCTAAGGACCCGGTGCACCAGGCTATACTGGAGGATATGCGCAAGAAGACAGAGGAGTGGCAGTATATGACGAGTGACGTGTGGCTCTTTCGGGACGGCGTCAGCGCCATCACGAGCCAGAAACACCAGAAGTTAGGACTGGAGCTGCCAGATCGCTTTGATTTTGATCTAAAGAAGCCAGGGAATGTTACCGGCCCTTACTGGGCGCCTCCGGCTGGAGTGGCCGCAAAAGAACAGGGACCGAGTGTAAATATGCAGCAAGGGTGACGTACTGTACCGCAACTTTCACAGTATTCTCGAAATTATGCGAGTAGATATATAAATATAACCCTGAGCAGCTACAAGTTATGTTGATAGTATATACTCATCGATTCTATTAGATGCTTATATAGATGAAGCCTATGTATATCTATAGTACAAATATATATCAACGCTATTATTAGATATTCATCTACGGAGTAGTAAAGGCTATATATGTTCATAGTATATATATATATCAACCCTATTATTAGATATTCATCTAGTAAAGGTTATATATGTTCATAGTATATATATATATCAACTCTATTTGATGCTGATCTAGATAAAATCTATGTTGAGACAGGTGTACCGCATCACCCCTTGATTGGGGGCGGCCCAGGCAAGCTCGTCATCCCGGTCTCCGCATAGTACTCCTCCCACAGCCTCAGCAGTTCCGCTAGCACCTCTGACTCCTGCGCTGCTAGGTCCTTCATCTCTGCAGGGTCCCTCGCCAGGTCATACAGCTCCCAATCGTCTTTCCCTCGTGGCGCTGGAATCCAAACGGCCTTCCAGCAACCCCTTCTGATGGCTTGCTGGCCGAACAACTCCCAACCATGGACGTGAGAGTCCTCGCCGTGGACGGTGATGGAGGCACAAGAGAGGAGGCGCAACCAGGATTTGCCGCGGAGGGGCTCGATGGGGCGGCCGCGGAAAAGCCTGCCTGGGTGGGGGACGTCGGCGAGGTCAAGAATCGTGGGTAGGATGTCCATGACGGTGGTGAAGGCGTCGCTAATGGTGCCTGTACCTGTGCTTGATGGCCCTGTCGCGGTAAGAGGAGGATAGTGTATTATGCAAGGACATCGGATACCCCCCTCAGTGATCCATGTTTTGAAGGCCCGTGAAGGAGCCGATGCCGCACAAGCCCATCGTGGCCCTGCGTTCCTCGTTAGCCTCCTGGAGAAATAAAAAAGGAGTCAAATCAGGTTGTCGGTAAAGGGGCACCATCAACCACGCAACCACGTACCGTACCACACAAATGACGTCTTGTTGCCAATATTCTCATATCGATTGTCATAATGATCATTAATCACTCCACCAAATGTCTCTGGTCCTCCCATCAGCTACCAAAAATAATCCAGTTAGTGGTGCTTAATCTCTCACAGTCTGCCATCCCGCAACATGAAGCACTTACGGGTACCGCCTCCAGGACCGCCCCTTCAGCCCCATTGTCAGACATAAACAAAATCATTGTGTTGTCCAGCTCTCCCGCAGACTTCAGATACTCAACCACGCGCCCGACGTTAGTGTCGATGATGTCCACCATGGCCGCAAAAGTCTCCATCTTGCGTGCCGACAACTTACGCTCCTCCAGAGTCATCTCGTCCCACTCCTTGCCCAGCAAGCCCACGGGTGGTGCAGGGACAACATCTGGCGGGATGATGCCCAGTTCTTTCATTTTCTTCAATCTTTTTTGCGTGAGTGCATCAGGGCCGTCGTCGTACACACCCTCTGAACATTCCAAGGTCAGAATATTGATGAATCTGGATTGGGGGTGCACTCAAGGAGCCTACCGTATTTTTTCATCACCTCTCTCGATGCCTGCAGCGGCCAATGGGGTGCCATAAATGGCAGATATGCAAAGAAAGGCTTTTCGTCACCTTGCTTTCCCTGTTCAGCGCCAGACTGGTGGCGCAGTTTGAGGTACTCCAGTAACTTGTCCGTAAACGACGTCGTGGAGTAGAAACTATCCGGCAGATCCGTCATCTTGATAAATTCATCGCCCTCCATCCAGAAATCCCGTGTCTTGATGCATGGGGGATGCTTGATGCCGTCAGCCAGCTGCGGCTCCCAGCCATGGTGGTTTCCGGACCCTGGCAAAAAAGTGAAGTTTTTGTCAAAGCCCCTGGAGCACGGTGCTAATTCCTTCGAAAAACCCAGGTGCCACTTGCCAGACATCATAGTATGGTAACCGGCATCCTGGAGAATCTCAGACAAGGCTGCCACTCGCCAGTTAAGGTAGCCCTCATAGCCCGGCTTGTCTTTATAATACTCGCGCTTATCCCGCAGGTACTCGTCCATTTGGCCTGGACAACTCGGTTAGCCAGGCTTCTATACCATCTCATTTGCCCAGAAACGAGAAGAAAGGCATACCCAGCCCACATATATGATTGTCCGTGCCCGAGAAGAGCATGGCCCTCGTGGGAGAGCATGCAGAAGCAGTGTGAAAGTTGGTGAGGCGGACCCCATCCTTGGCTAGCTGGCTCAGGTTGGGTGTGTTTATCTCGCCGCCATACGGCGCAATGTCGCTGTAGCCCAAATCATCGGCTACAATGATAAGGAAGTTCGGCCTCTTCTTCTTCGCGTCTTCCATTCTGCGTATGCTTGAATAGAGATGCGAGAATGAAATGACGGCCAACGATCAACAACACATATACTGGCACGCTAATGAAATTTATTGAGCGGCAGCTAGTGGCGCTATATGAATTCCGAGATCCCTTTTTGGTGGTAATTAAGTGCTCGGGCTCTCAACCAGAGGAAACCGACTCATTATTACGTCCAAGGAGACATCTGCCACTTTGGTCCAATCTACCTAAGTGTTAATAATCGAAATGTATGTCACCAGCGGAGAATCTTTGAAACATGTGACCTCCCAAGACACTGGGTACTTTCCGAATTGCGTTCCGTTGGCTTTCGGATGTCGTTCTGATGTGGTGTCGCTTTAACCAACTACGTGAAGCAGCTGGAGCCTACGAAAATATTACGCCACAAATAACGGTTCTCAATTGTGGAGCATACTGAGTCCAGATGATGTCCTGCGGGGAGCTGGGCTAGCGGACCGGATCTCGCTCCAGACGACGGATGGCACGACATCCGCTCCGGTGCTCGCTGCCAAGCTTGCCCCATCATATTTGCCCAAGTTGGACTTGTATCAAGATGAATTGGCAACTTGATTCCCAAGTTTGCTGGGCCCCACTAAGTGTCGCTACTGGCTATTTCCCCAGACTTGCATTTTCTAAACCCACTAATAAGTGTCGCTAACTGGCTATTTCCCCAGACTTGCATTTTTAACCCTGGACATCTGAGAAATCAGCCTCAAGTGTTTCAACCTAGGAGTACTCTGTGCTCTCTTCATGTTGGAGCTAGCAACTTCGAAGAATGTCTTCGCGGCCAGGGTCCCAGGACAATTTCATCTGAACTCTTGTCCCAAATTGGACACTAACGACACTATATTTTCAGCTCCTTTCCACCATCTCACAGTATCGGAAGAGTCCGCCCCGGCTATATCAAACGGCCTTTGGAACCCGCTTTCTCCCCTTTCTTGCACGACTTGCCTCCTCCGCCGCGAACAAGATAGACTCCGCCGTCACGGAACCAACCCAAATCACCATCGCTCTACTTATCCATTGAGCAAACTACCACCATGAAGGGATATCTGAGGTACTTCAACCGGCCCTTAGCAGGGGCCGTCGTGCTGATTGCTACCTCGACCTTCAACTATGGCTTCGACAATCAAGGCTTCGCAACCACTCAGGCCATGGATGCGTTTACTCGCCGCTTCGGCGTCAAGGCAGCTGACGGAACTTATGCGCTCGATGGTGTCTGGCTTAGTCTTTTCAGCAGCCTCATCTACATCGGCTTCGGCGCTGGTAGGTTCAAGATCAATCTACAGATTACGAAACATAAAAGGAAAGGCTGACCGGTTGTAGGCATCATCTTGGGCAGCTGGCTTAGTGCTCGGGTCGGTCGCCGCAAAGCTATGTTCCTGCTCAGCGCGTATGAAGTAATCACTGCAACCATCATCGTGACGTCCCAGAACAGGGCACAGATCTTGGCCGGTCGAGTCCTCAACTATGTCTACGTCGGCATGGAGTTGTCTGTTGTGCCCGTATTCCAGTCAGAGATTGTCCCGGCAGAGATTCGTGGGTTCGTCGTCGGCACCTATCAGTTCGCCTTGATTGCGGGTGGGCTCATCTTGAATATTATTTGTTTGGGAACTAGTGGCATTCAAGATGATCGAGCATTTCGAATTCCTTATGGGCTGTTCTATATCATCCCTGCCATTATCATGGCGGGCATCTTCTTCGTTCCCGAATCGCCCCGATGGCTCATTATTATGGATCGGCATGAAGAGGCGCTTACCAATCTCCACAAACTCAGGGATGGAGTTTTCTCGGAAGAAGAAATCACCAGAGAATTCGAGGTCATGCGGATCGCCGTCGCAAATGAGAAGGATCAAGGCAAGTTCTCCGAGCTCTTCCATCGGAATAACATCCTGCGAACATTTATCGCGTGCGGAGTGCACGGCTTCCAGAATGCGTGTGGCCAGGACTTGGTGTCAAAATTTGGCAGCCTCATCGTTAAGAGCTTAGGAACTATCAGCCCATTTATTATGACTGTGGTATTCGCACTCACGAACATGGTATTCGTCTTTATTGGAATGACCCTGTCGGACAAGACTGGGCGACGGTAAGCTCCAAAGTAGCTAATATCCTGGGCAGCTTAGAGTAGACTGACTGACCGCCATAGGCCCTTGCTTCTTCTGAGCGCATTTATGCAACTTGCAGGGATGCTAATACTAGGAGGCATTGGTACGACTGGATGGCCGCTGGAGCCACGATTTCAAGCCGTAACGATTGTGATGCTCTGCCTCATCACGGCGGGCTTTTCTATCGGATTCGCACCGCTGGCCAACGTGGTGACTACGGAGATAACATCTCTTCATCTTCGTGACATGACGCAGCGGATTGCGTGTTGTATGAACGTTATTGCTAAGTATGTAATTCTTCAATTCCCTTCTCAAACGAGAAATGGCATATCATGTGGAGATGTTAATACATTGGGTTTGCCAGCTTCGCTGTGGGCTTCTCGACACCATACCTGCTCAATGCGCCCTACGCGCACCTGGAGATGCAGATTGGCTGGGTGTATGCGCCTGTCTGTGCTCTGGCGTTCCTCTTCGTTTGGTTTTTCGTTCCCGAGTGCAAAGGCAAGACTCTCGAGGAGACAGACTGGCTCTTTAAGCACCACATACCAATCCGCGAGTTTGGCAAGTACCAAGTTCCAAACCTCTACAGTGAGCACGAGGCAAAGGTGCTTGAGGATAATAAGAAAACAATTGAAGAGTTTCAGGTCGAGAATGTCGAGGGCTAACAGCGAGGATGACTTCGACAGGCCTACGCCTGAGGACACTTCAAGTGGTCATTTGCTAGGATGAAATTAGAAACGCCTGTCAGCTTGAAATTTAGTGTTGATCAAGTTATTTCATTTCCATGTGCCTGTCTCCTAGTGGGCTTTCATTTGTCAAACGGGCATGGCGAGTTCGGTGTGTTTGTTAGGTTAAAATGAGGTAGTCATGCATGCCTCTCCCTGATTTCACCCCTAGAAAGTGCTGCCACTTGCTGCAAAGCAACCTCACACTCTATCATCATTTCTTTCACCAGAGATGACCCAATGTATTACTACAAAGTGACGCCGTATTTATGAAGAACTGACAAAGTAGCCACTTACACGACAGGGGATGATGGTCGACTGCATTTAGCTCGTCCTTCCGCCCAAGTAGACAATCCCAGCTATCCCATCCACACCGGGATCTTTGACAGTTAAGCAGCAGGCCAGTTTCCCCAGAACAGGGCAAATGACCCCTTGGCCGTTGAAACGTCCAAGGTGATTGTGATTCGATGCGGCTGTGTGACGGCGGATCTCGGTGTGCACTAGCAACTTTAACTCCCGACAGGGTAAGAGGTCAACGCATCTTCAGCGGGTCTCGACCCATGGTAGCGGGGATGATTCACCAATAAAATGGGACAGTCAAGCTACCAAACTCGGAACTAGACCTGCACCCGCCGGATAGCATTTTAACGACACCAAAGTGCCTCCTCATCTTGGACAGAGTACGGAGTCACAGCTGCTATTCTGCTGGCTCAATTGTGCTCTTCGCCATATCGGATCATTAGAAATAGGGGGTCCGTGATCAGTTTGAGGGCACTGGCTGTTTGCCATGAGACAGAGCCTAGCATCTCTGCCCCGAAAGACACCGGCGTATGCGTGGATTGCCTCTCCGAGATCCGGGTTCCAGTCTTTGATCAACCTCCCGGCAACATGACTGGCAGTAACAACCGCAGCCCCAGCTCCAGAACCAGCTTCATACGGTCGTGTCAGCAATGCCGTGCCCGCAAAGTCCGATGTGACCGCGCTGGTATCACCTGTAGCCCGTGTCAACGCTTGGGCCTCGCCTGTTCGTTTGGCGGTGCGGGACAAACGTATGTGACCACCTCAGCCCTGGGGAAGCAACATTCCGGAGCGTTCCCGCCCGCCGAGCTGACCCAGGCTGGAACCGCACGCCGGCGTACCCTCATCGCTTGTGAGGCTTGTCGTGTTGGCAAGGCTCGCTGCACCGGCGGTGTCCCGTGTGACCGGTGCACCAAGCGCCGCGTTGAGTGCATTCGGCGTCACCGCGGAGGAGACGGTGGTAATTCCCAACACCCAGAGGAAAGAGTACAAACGGATCTGCAGACGAAGCTCACCCCGAGTGGCAGTCCGAGCACAAGTGCCCTTTCTCACCCAAGCCTGACCACTGCCATAGGTACGGACTCGCCACAAGTCCTCTCACCGGAAGGTCTTTATAGAATCACAGAGCGGCAGTACATCCAGGCTTACTTTGCGGGTGCCAAGCCCCTTGCTTGTATCTTCCTTCACCGACCGTCTACATTGGCCGAGTGGAACCAGGGTAAACTCGATCCGACCTTGACCAAGGCGCTGTGCGCTTCTGGCAGATCCATTGAGGCTGGACCTAGCGATGCTTTGGTCCGGTCCTGGATGTGTGAGGCTCGCGATGCTGTCATCAGCAGCCTCAACCGAGTATCAATCCAGCAGCTGCAGACGCTGGTGCTCGTGATCCAGCACTTCATTCAGGCCGGCGACACCGTCGAAGCGTGGAACCTGCTGCCTCTGGCAGCGAGGCTCTCCTTCACCCTCCAGCTAAACTATGAGCGTCCAGACCTAGACCCCCTCCCTCGTGAGTGTCGCCGCCGCCTCATCTGGTCCGTCTACCTCCTCGATCGCCTCTTCTCTGGCGGGCTTGATGAGCTGGCCACGTGCCCTGCCGAGTACCTTCACATTCGCCTGCCGTGCGATGAGCGCAGCTTCGAGAGGGGCCTCGATTCCCAGGCTGACTTTCTCAATGGAATCAATCAACACGGTGATATGGATGCTGTGGCCTATCTGGTGCGCCTCTACTCCACCCGCGAGAGAATTCTCAGGTAAAACTCCGCAGCTCACCCGGAAAGCACGGTATCCATTCCCTCCAAGACGTTGCTGACCTATGTCTCTTTTCGCGGCAGGTATACTAAGAGTGTCCGAAGAGAGCGCGTCAGTCCCATAGAGAGCGCAAGCAAACTCTCTGCGCTACAGTCCGAGCTCGACGAGTTCAAGGCATCCCTTCCCGTCTATCTTCGCCTTGAGCAGGACAAGTTGCCCCTCGTCGCGCAATCTAGTGATGCACATAGCTTCCTCATCATCCACACCATCTGGCTTCAGTGCCACTGCGACCTCTATCGCTTCTTCATACCCGGCATCCGTGAGTCTGTCTGCAAGGCGGCTGCCGAAGCCACCCCACAGGACTATATCACCTTCTGCCAGCGCGAGTGCCTCTCTAAGGCTGTCCAATTGTGCGACTTCTGGGCCAGCATGAGCCGCCAGCAACCCGTCGGCCTCGCAGAAGACCTCTTGCTCGGTGTCAGCATCTACCAGGTCGCCCAGATCCTTCACCATCTCCACCATCTGCTCCCGCCCCAAGGTCCTCATACAGTCGACGACCTCAAGAGGAGTCTCAGAGTCGCGCTAACCATGGATGCCACTCCCCGCAGTCGCTCGTCCAAGGTAGGCAAGAGCCTTGCCGCCGCCGAGATCATCATAGACACCCTCGACCAGGTCCGCAACGGCACACGCGGCTCCTCTCCTGGCGATGTACACTTCCTCCCATCTCAGGGGTCACTTATCCCGTCTGGCCTCGACTCCTCCGGCCTTCCGAGAGATGCACCCGTCGAGAGCATTGAACAGGCTAGGTCTACATTTGCCACCCATGCTGAAAGAGTGCTCTCGGTCACAGCTACTGGCCCCGATAATCGCATACCACAGATCTCAAGCCAGCCACCCGCCGAGGCGCAGGCGTTCGGTTTTGATGAGGGGTATATCCAGTGGGATCCGTTTGACATGGAGTTGAATGATTACTATAATGTGGCTGCTAACACCATTGCCTTTGCACCGCCGCCGCTGCCTTAATAGCTTGAAGCCTGATGGGAAAAATAAATAAAGAATTGAAAGACATATACTATAATAAACTAGTCTATACTAAGAATATAAAGTAGATTCTAAGGTAAGAAACCAGGTTAGATTTATATTAGTAAAGTTAATAAAATATAAATTTTTTAGTAATTTTATCTAGAGTACTTAAGTTTCTAATATATTAAATATTTTTTTATTAAGCTTTAGTTTAAGTAAATAACTATTATAATATTTCTATAACTATATTTTTTATAAAAACATTTTATATATAATTTTTATTTATTTATTTAATAAATTATTTTTTATATAAGTTTTTTTATATATATTTTATTTTATTTATTTATATAATGTGTTTTTTTATTTATTTAATAATTACTTTTAAATTATTATTATTTATTTATTAATAAAATAATTTTAATATTTTAAATATATACTTAACCTATTTTTATATTATTATACTATACTTAAATAATATAACAACTGCTTTTTTAATTAATAACTCAATACTATATATAAATAACTGTCACGACCTGAAACCATATAGGATCAGAACGTCACAATAACTATAAATTTAATTCTATTAGCCTTTAGTAATATATTACCTAATTAAAATTAATATTTGCTTTAATATAAACTTACTTTTGTTTTTTAATTTAACCTTCCTGTTATACTTTTGGTGTTAAAATTTCTAATATAGTATTTTTAATACAAGCTTGATGCTTGTGCGTTTTTGCTTGGATAGGTAGCTTACTACCTAGTATAATAGTCTCGGCTAGAACAAAACTTAAGTAAAGCAGTTTTGAGCTTTAAATTAGCTGATAGCGCGCGGCTTACAAGTATAATATCTTAGCTAGCGTAGATCTTGAACAGAGTATCCTTGATCTTAAGATTATCTAACAGCGCGCGCTGCTTACAAGTCTATCATTTTCGGCTAGTGCGGAATCTTGGATTCTTCATCTTAAGATTAGCTGACAGCGCGCGCGGCTTTTAGTAATATGTTATAAAGTGCCTCTTCAAGGTTGCCAGCATAGTGACTGGCAACCTTTGCAGTCGGCCGAACTATTCCAGTTATTTTCTCAGTTGGGATTTGTGTTACTGGATGTACTATATAAATAAGTCTTCTATTTAACAACTTCTTGCCCGGTTTGCAATTACTTTAGCCAACATATATTACTGGGGCGTTGTAGTTATCTGAGGCTAGTTCAAGATGCACAATCTATCCGCTATTGGGACGGCTGCCATTCTGGCGTTTATCAACTGCGTGGGAGCCTCGCCAACTCATCAGGCTCGCAATACGTATTCCTTGTACCCCAACATTGCTGACACCAGCCACGCCACGCCCGCACTCGTTGATTTCCTCCACGGATTTTTCACTACCAAGAGTCTTCACAACATCGATGGCTGGGCATCATACTTTGCACCCAGTGGGGATGTCTACTTCGACGCTATAATCGGCTTCGGGGTGGATAAAGCAAATATTCCATCTGCCTTTTCGCAATTTTTAAGCCAGGGCAAGCCGGACGGGAGATCCTATCCTCTTACGATCATCGGCGACATGAACAGTGCGGTAGTTTTTGGCGAAGATACGCCAGATATGTTTGGATATGAAACTCGCACTATAGCCGCCGTGGACTTCAAAGACGGCAAAGTTGCGCGATGGGTGGACTACTGGGATGGGCGACATGACGGGCTTATTGCGTTGAAAAGCCCCAGCGACAAGTTCCCTAAGACGTTTGGGGAATCCAACATAACAACGACACCGAATCCTGTGATACGTAATATTACTTCCCAGCTTAACGACGCCCTTTCGACTGGCAACAGCATTGCAGCCGCGTCGTTATTTTCATTCGATGCCGTCTTTGAAGATCGTACCACGCGGACTCGAATAGAAGGTCGGAAGAGCATACAACAATACTTTTCTCGAGCACTGACCAGTGCACCTTACGGTAACGGTACTACCGTTCGACACATTGTAGGCTCCTCGGCGGGTGGTGCCTACGAGTGGATCGGCTCCCCTACGGCACCTACGCAGAATGGCATATCGGGATTCAAGCTGGACTCTAATGGCAGCATTACAATACTCTCTACTGTGTGGGATTCCTCGCAGGTCAACAATTCAACCATGGAGATGCTTGTTCAACTTGCCATCCAACTGTAATGATATAGGTTGGCAGTTGAGTAAAAGTTACTAAAATCCTATTGCTAATGTGTTTTACACTTTAGAAGAAAGAACCCTGGGATCTTTTATAGAGACTGTCCATATATTCTTATTCTTGCAAGGTTTCGGCATAACGGGTGTATCAGGTATGCCTTTAGTGCCATAGACAATTTAAGTACCAGTTACAGATGGCGTTTCAACAACATTGCCAATGTTTGAGTTCTTCAGCCGTACTAGACTTATACTAGCTGCTACCATATGAATACCATCGCTCAACAGATAATAAAGGGTTTCCTTTCGAGATATGGCCCCAATTTCTATGTTTATGAAAGAATGGTAGTGTACATGCGGAGCTGATGATGGTGTCTAGTCTGTAGAGGTAGCTTAGGTCGCTGTATTCATCTTCATCGGCTTCAAGGTCTCGCTGTGACCACACCATGTCAAGGCCCGCTCTTACACGCATGAGGCTGCTGTCGTTGTGTTTTGCCCTGGTCTTATGGATAAGTTCGAGTAAGAGCATTCGTGCTCATCATTGCGTGCTTCAGAACCAAGTATAAGGAGCGGGAAAGATCGCTGGCGCGGGCTGAGCTTTGTGATGAGGTAAAATCCGCGATCAATCAAGCCATCGAGCTGATGATCCATAGCGTGGAGGGCATCACGGCATTTGAGATTGTATCAGTTGATGGAGATACCTTTACTTTCGAAATTACGTACGGGGAAAGTCGTGCTGCTTTAAGCATCTATATGGTATAATTCGCCCACCCTCTTCCATTCGATTCGTTCCCATCTAATGAAATAATTCTTCTAGTCAGATGGGCCTCTTCCCCTTGCGGCAGCGATGGATATTTATCGGGTTAACCGATATTGTATAAGCGGGCTAGGTTACATTTCCAATTCACTCTGGGTTGGTCCTATAACGTGATTGTGCTTGGGGGGTAATCAGGACGGTGGCCATGGGCAAGGTCAAGCCCATGACATTTGAGATCCCCTTAAAAGCATCATTCACCATTCCTAACCTCCTCGAAATGATTTGGACAACGATCAAGAGCCCAAAGAACTGGGAGCAGATCGGAGCAGCTCTTCTCAGAGAACCGGACAAGTTTGTCCTGCTCCTCATGAAAGTTGGCACCGAGATTTTTGGTAGCGATCTCATCAAAAGGATTGTATGCCGCAAGGCTCAACCTAAAAACATTAAGGCCAGATCTAGAAGCAACTTTGAAAAGGATGTCAAAGATGACATAGACAAGATCAAGGAGGTTGTCGAAAAGGTGAAGAAGTGGGTTGGAACCGCAGTATCAGCTGCTGCCGCAGCAGTCACGATTGCAGAGTTCGTAGGTGGCATCGGCGGTGGTCTAATCGGTGGATAATTAGGTGCTTTTGGAGCAACCATCGGAGGCATGATTATGAAGGCCAATGATGAGGTTGAAAAGGCAAGCGTTCAGGCAATGATTACGCCGATTGAGGAGATGCTCAAAGCCCTCAAGGAAAAGCAGGATGAGATTGAGACCAAGATTCGCTCTTCCCTGATGATGACGGGTTTGGTAACGGCAGAGTACGTCCTCAACGATGACGAGTCCACGGTCCTCGTCAAATGGAGCAAACCAACTGCAAAGGACTTGACTTTGGAGACTACAGTCACATTTCCTACGAAGTCCGCATGAGCACTGAGAATTTCCTCCCCAAGGATAGTAAGGTCATATCCGAGCTAGAGTACAGCAAGAAGAATGACGAATATCGGTACACTGATAAAGTCTTTGTTTGGGTTCGAGCCCCTATTTCATGGAAATATGATGGTGTGTCTTGAAGATCCAAACACCCGGCACATCCTTTTTCAAGAGGACAGTCCCGGCATCGAACAAGGGGTTTACCTTGAAGGAGGATGAGTGTAAAGCTTGGGTTGTCGGTCAGTCAGTTGGCGTCTTTCAAGTAATTAAGGAGGGACAGAGGAGTGGTCCGCGGGAGAGGAAGACATTTGTGGTGACCGGTATTGAAATACCGGTCATAGCTGAGGCGTAGGATAATAGAACTGGACGTGAAGAATCTTTACTGTCCAACGTTACAAGATGGTTTTGAACCCTGGCCACTCATACAACCTATCACCTATTCACCTGTGACTCGCAATACAAACGTATTAATAAACAAGTTATAAAGGAGAAAAGAAAAACTAAATGATCATAATCATAATACGTCACTGTAATAGCATCAAGATCGTAGCGCCGATGCCCCTGGAGGATCTTTGCTCTGCTGCCTTACAGGGCTCGGAGGCCCTGACGTTGCGCCAAGCAGCCGCCACAAGCGCCCTAGCCCAATCGCAGACTAGCACCCAGGGCCCTAATTTTAGGCCCCCGCCAGCGCAGTTAGTGTGCACGGAGCGTGGATGTACTCGTATAATATTGGCCTAGGGACCGGACCGACCCAGAGCCTCTCATCAATACTGGACTTAAACATCGTCAACAACATTGAACAATAAACTCATATGGGCCTTCGCCAGTTTGACAAAACTCATATGGGCCTTCGCCAGTTTGACTTGCGTCTCAACCAACAACACAACAAACATCGTCACATCGGTTTCCGCGGACTCTCGGACTCGCGAGCCTCTTTTGATTGGACCGAACACACGGCAAATGTTACTCTTTGCAACAAGCTGTTGTATTCTTCTTTGGAAGCCCATGGGATAGAGATTGAAGGCCTGTGCGTCGTCAGAAAACAACAAGTCTTTCTTTCTTTCAAACCTTACTCTCTAGCTTTGGGGCTCTGTAATAGCTCTTTATAACCCTTTCTGCACACTAACCCATATGAATTAGAATACTGAGCCATATATAGATCTGTGATCGGGAGATTATTGGATAAAGCAATTATATTGTCGCGTTAGGTCACAAAATGGACCAACACAGCCACAGGCTCGAGGTTGGTTCTACTATAGCACAGTCTAATAAGAAGAGAAAGAGACAGCAGAGAGTATGTAAATACATTGTTCTCAAAGAAACAGGAAAGAAAACCCTCTTTAAAATGAGTGATTAATAAACCAGGATGATGCGCTTCTCAGCAGGCGGCGGATTATAGAAGATTGCCAATCAAGGCTGGGCGGCGCAATCCCTTCTCTTCAGATTTCGATGGGGAACCTTTTCCGAATGGATTCGCCGCGTAAGTAAAAGAAAATCGGCACAGGTATAAACCCAATCGTGATGAAGGCCAACACACTATTTCCCCAGCCCAGACCCAGGTTAGCGTAGAGTGTCGGGGCGGCAAGGGGCAGGAAAGCTCCCGTCAGGTTGCGAAGCAGTGTAACGGCGGCAAGTGCGGATGCCGCTGCTTGAGGCCCGAAGATGTCGATGATGTACGTCTGCGACGACGAATTGATAATAACGGCCCCGGGTCCGCAGATGGCGGTGCCGATGATGGGCACAACCCAGTGCACCTTGTACTCAGTGGTCCAGCCGTAGATGAACAGGCCGATTGGGAACATTGGAGAGACAAACATCATCATGATCAGGCGCCGTTCTGGGCGGTAGCTCCCTCCCTCAGCATTCAGCAGGCGATCACTGAGCTTGGCAAAGGTGACGACACCTATGGCGCAGCCGATGCCGACGCCGACGTACGCCAGGCCGGAAAGACTAACGCTCCAGTGGTAGGTGTTCTCGTAAACGGTCGGAAAGGTGGCGAAGAGGAGCATGGTAACGCCGAAGTTGAAGGCGATATAGAGTGCGATGAGAGCGACGATGGGCGATTTGAAGAGGAATTTCATGGGGCGGGCCATGGCGTGTAGTACGAGCTGCTTGACTGGGGTCTGCTTATCGCCGGCGGCGCGCAGGTTCGGATTGCCCGTCTCTTTACGAAGTCGAGCGGCCTTGGATTTGAGTATATTGACGGAGCTCGTCTCGTGCATGAACAAAAAGGTGATGATGGTGACTACACCGGCCTAGTGGGAACATCATCCATTGTTAGCTTGAGCCGGACGAGACGAAGAGGGAGTAAATGGGGCCATGCTCACAAGCATCAATATGAGATAGAAGCACCATCTCCATCCCAGGTTCTCAACAACAAATCCTCCTACGATAGGACCGAGGACCTAGCCTCAACATTAGCTCGCTGAATCCTCCAAGATACTCAAAGGGAAACATACAGGGCCAAAGAGCGGCCCGGCAGTGAAAATAGCCATGGCAACGCCTCTCTCCTCTTTTGGCAAGAGGTCGGCGACGGTGCCGCCACCTGTCGACATATATGAGGCAGCAGCCAAGCCGGTCAACAAGCGGAAGACTAGAAACTCGGCGACATTGGTGCTACGCGAACAGCCAGCGGTGAATCCGAGGTAGAAGATGGAGCTCGCGCGGTAGATGGGCATGCGGCCAAAGACCTCGGACATCGGGGGTACAAACAACTGGCCGATGGCGAAGCCGAGCGACGCCATGGTGATGGTCAGGACCTCGACCGTACTGCTCTTGTAGCCGAATTCACGCTGCATAATGGTGGCGCCGGGGGCGAACATGGTGGTTGCGAGATTAGTGTATAGCACGGACAAGCTGACAACCACCACGTTGGCCAACTTGTACGCCTTGGACCAGTTGCGCGGGTTTGCAGGGTCGTCGGGGCCGTCCCAGTCGACGATGTTCGGGTCTGGCGTAGGAGCTACCTCGCCACCTGCCAGGGTACCCTTCTCGGCATCCTCGCTCACATTTGCAGCCTCGTTATCGTCAGAGTTCGTTTCACCCGCGGCTGAGTCTCCTTGCTTGTCGACGTTCGAATCTTTTGCAGGGCCGAAATCACCCTGAACTGCAGCATCGAAGCTGAGTATGGTGCTTGTTTCATGATCGTAAGCGGTGTGATCGCTCTCGGCTTGACTTTCCGCCATCTCTTGTCAGTCACCCACAGTTGTGTGTGGTTCGGTGGTTGAGGCTGGTGGGCAAAGAAATAAGCTGCGTTAGTTTCCAAGTTTTTGTCTTTTGCCCTCTCTCGCTCGACGCTTCCCTCATTGGAAAATGAAAGCTACAATGACAGGATAGAAGAAATGAAGCCTGCGTGGTGGTCTTAAGACCAAGGGAAGTGGTTGGCCATGTCGGGGACACCCTATTTTGCCCCGGATTTGCTCCGTCTCCAGGAGAAGAAATGGATACAAGAACGGACATTTCCCGCCGCAAGTGTTATCCCTATGAAGCCTACAATTTCCAGCCGATTCCTGCTGAGGCGCTGAGTACAGCGGCCCTATTGACGCTCCCCAAGTACCATTAGCCTCGATCTTGGGCCGATACGGCCTCCTACATCTGCCCCACTTGACCGTCCGTTGCTCGGCCACCTCTGATGAAGCAGAAGGCACGTGTCTGAGATGAGGCGGCTTACGTTCGCACCGTCCCCGCCAACTTGCTCCGTCGATTGCTCCGTCGATTGCTCCGTCGATTGCCCCATCTACCAACTTCCGCCCGCACCTGCCGAGGGCTCTTCTTCTTCATATCAGATAGAAGCCGTCCGGGATACAACCTCCCGTGCCCAAGCAAAGCTATACCAATCTCAGCAGAAGAAGCTTGCCGTCGATGGATCATCTGGAGCCACCCGCCTACACAGAAACGCCGAGCCTGCCCCATCAGCAGCCCGGTACTGCCGCTGGAGACTCGCTGCCGCAACTGCGAGATCGCCGGCGGGAGAAGCCGCTTCTTTCATGTACCTTTTGCAGGAGTCGCAAGTAAAATCACTCGCCCGTCGCAATCTCAACGGCTATGAGACTGACGGACAGCCCCCAGGGTGCGGTGTGACCGTCAGCTACCATGCACGACCTGCACGAACAGGGGAATCGGCTTGTCCTGCACCTATGAGTTAGGGGGGTCACGGAAGAGCAAGAGCAAAGTCAGCGTCGGTGATCATATCCAGCAGCTCGAGGAGCTCGTGCGCTCCCTGGTCAGGCAGCAACAGCAGACGCCGGCCGCGCATCCCGATGGCCTCGCCCGAGACTTTTCGGACCTTTCATTCCAGGCCTCGCCGACCGCGTCGCCACAGAGTGTCCCTACGGCCCCGCTGGCATCGGCCGACGAGGACACGCTCGTGCCAGCCCAGAGGCATGCGTCCATATCGCGGAGTAGGGACCGTGCTGACTCCCCCGCACCCTCGGAGCCTGGCAGCATGCGTCTGCACCCGCATGGTATCGGTGCCAGCTACGTCGGGAGCGTTCACTGGGCCGCCGTCCTCGAAAGTATCTCAGAGCTTAGAGACCACTACGAGGAGGAGGAGGAGGCCCGGATGCTGGCCACCAGCGACCATGTACTACTCCAATGCCCTGGCCCTCGACTGCTATACGAGCCCGTCCAAGCCACAAAAGCCCATCTTCTTGCTTCAATCCCGGCCCGGCCCGTTGTGGACCGCATGGTCGCACGGTATTTCAACGCACAAGGGGTTGTACCAGGAATACTTCACAGTGGACATTTTCTCCGAGAGGTACGGTGCTTGCTGCGTGCTGGAGTGTAATGCCTACTGTCTATGTACATCTCCTTCCCAGTGCCATCCCTTCCCCTCCTCTCTTTACCCCCTGCTTCTGCTTGTTCTCCGAATTCTCCTCGTTGGCTGACGGTTTGGACCACTTTAATAGTACCAGAAGTTCTGGCAGGAGCCAGCTGTCATGCCGTGCATCTGGATTGGACTCTTATTTAGCGTAATGTGCGTCGCCACATTATACCAACAGTCGATCGAGGACCCGGCAGATCCGGAAACTCCAGAACGCGTGCGCGTGTTCCGGGAACAGACTCTTCACAGCCTGGTCCTAAGCCAGTACACCAGAGGCGGTGAATACGTGCTAGAAACCATGATCAATTATCTCATCTGTGAGTCGTTCATGTCCCAGGATACCGAGATCGGGCTCTGGCTTGTACAAGGCATCATCGTGCAGCTTGCCCTGAGCCAGGGCTACCACCGAGATCCCCAGAAGTTCCCCAGCATTTCCCCATTTGCCGGTGAGATGCGGCGGCGGGTGTGGGCCATCATCGTGCAGATGGATCTTCGTCTTTCAAGCCAGATGGCGCTGCCATGCGTACTCAAGTTGCAGCAGTACGACACAGCTGAGCCGCGGAACCTGCTGGACACAGATTTCGATGACGCTACCGTCGAGCTGCCCCCATCGCGTCCCGAGACTGAGGTCACGCCCGTGCTCTACAGCTTGGCCAAGGGCAGGATAGACAAGATGACGGGGCTAGTCAACGACGTCGTCAACGACACCCAGGAGCACCCGTACACGGAGATTATGGAGCTGGACCGAAAGCTGCAAGAGGCCGAGGCCTCACTGCCACCAATCTTCCGATGGCAGCCTCTCAGCCAATCCTTCATGGTGGCACCCCAGATCGTCATGCACCGCGTGTTGCTCCAGCTCGCCATACAGAGGCTGACAATTTGGCTTCACCGCAAGTACCTCGCGCCGCCCTATACCCAGCCGCGCTACCAATACTCACGTAACGCTTGTGTCCAGGCGGCCATCAAGATCCTGGAGTTCCAGCAGATAGTGCTGGAGGAAACACAGGGAGATGGGCTGCTGTATTCCGCGAGGTGGGCGCGGTGGATGCTCCTGTCCTCGCGGCCGCGGGCCGTCTTCTTGCTGGGCGTAAGCATCCTCTGCTACTATATACAGCTGGCCAAGTCCCGACCGGACGTTTCCCTAGACCAGGGCACGGGCGCTAAGATTCACAATCTTCTGCGCAACGCGTATCCCCTCTGGCTGCACTCGACCACCGTATCTCGGGAAGCCCGGCGGGCGATTGACCACCTGAGCCTCATGTTAGGGCTGCAGGAACAGGAAAGCGGCACACCTTTCACTGGCTCTGCCACTGCCACGCCTCAGGACACAGAAATGTCGCTTGACCAGTTCACCTGGGACGCATTCGAAGGTAAGCTGTCGAACTACTAGATGATCCCTGGCGGTGTTGCCCAATGCCCGTCCCGTTCCCTTCTTTCCCTTGGTCTCTGCCAACCTTCTGCCCTAACATTTGCCTCCCTATCAACCCCAAACACCAACACGTTCTGCGCCAGGGACTGACTTTTTCCAGAGTGTATCGCCAATTTCCCAGCATCGACAGCATTCGGTAGTGAATTTATGGGGCCGAGCCTGCCCAGTTCCTCTTCAGCGACGAGCATCTCTACAGCGGATCTACTGTCAATGAACTTGAACACCCCAGAGTCGGGCGGCTGGATGGACAGAGGAGCCTTTAAGCCATGAATGGCAGGATCCTGGTTGCTATTGGAAGGCGGCACATTATCTGTCACTGGGCCGTACTCACCCTTGTGCTTACATTCTATTACACAGTCGGAGGGAACATAGCCTATGGACGAGAAGAAAAAACAAGGCGACTCCAATATACACTGCATAACATTCCAACCAGCCCTACAACTATCTATTTTTATATGGCTCCATTAGCGCAGTCGCAAGGATGTTCACCAGCACGTAGGAGTCACATTATTTTGTGTCTATCTGTTACCCGTTGGTTCCACTTTTAGTAACTAACTGTTCGGCGTCGCCTTACAGTTGGGCACAAAACCTGTAAAACACCACAAAAAGCGGTATAGTTTTCTACTAGTTATTTTACGGCTATTATATACAAATAGGAAAATTCAAATAACTAGCTAGAAAGAAAAAGAAAGGCACTATAATCAGAAAGCTATAGCGAACAGCTTTGCTATATGCTCTTTGTTGTGTTACAGGGGTTGTGGTGGCTGTAGAGCTGCTGATTCTGTTGTTGATTGTGGCTAAACTTAAGCCCTGATGCAATTCACCTGAATACTTTTCAGCCGGCTGAAAAAAGTAACTTTTTGATATATCGGCAAAAGCGGGGAGGCTGCTTGTACCTTTTTAGCTTTATTTTATTTTTACCTACCCTATATTTTCAGGTGTACCTTCAAAAAGCAGCCAAAACAAGGTTATTTTTAGTTAGTAGCTTATAGAAACATAACAAGCAATGACTACCTACGAGGCGGGGGCGTTTTCTGGTAAGAGATCAGGCAAGAAGTATGCTCTGGCAAGAGCTCTGCTGAGGATTTTTCCAAGCAAAAAGAGTCACCAGCAGCTTGAATCTATGACAGGATCTCTTTTTTCTCTCTTACCATCACCTCTGTCTTGCCATATCTCTCACAAAAAACCACCCTCGGGCTCCTAGGTAGTATTATACCCAAGCTCCTTCTATAAAAATTTTTTAAAAAAATTATAAAAGCATTCTTGTAATTTTTTTTTAGCTGTTACAGTATAAATTCAGCAGATTTTTATAAAGCCAGCTAATAGCTATACTAATTACAGGCATTTGCGTAGCCCTTGCTAGCGCAATACAGTGCTAATAGGGGTTATTAGATTAACCCATAGTAATTCCGACTGAAAAAAATACTTATGAAATTAGCTAGCTTGATTAGGCAATCCGGGTGTTTTATGCAAAGGACGGCTTGAAAAGTATCCCTCGTGGCATGCGCGACTGGTGTAACAAGCTGTCCCTAGGTAACCCCTGTAACCTGTACCTGTACCATATATACCTTTTCTTTCACACTAAAAAGACAAAACCTGTACAATATACAGCTTACCTTCTTTACAATAATTAGTTATTAAAAAACATAATATACAGTAAACAAAATTTTATTTATACTGTATTTCCCGCTGGTTATAGTGGTTAGTGGTTATAGTTAGTGTTATATGTTTTTAAAACTAATACTACTGTATATGTATTAGGTTGAAAGGTAAGCTGTACATTGTATGTACAGGTACAGGTTACAGGGGTCACCTAGGGACAGCTTATGTATACACTCTGGCTTGCGCAGTATCTCCAAAAAGTGGAGCCAGTAGTGAAAAGTAGTAGTTTTGTAGCTTCCAATTTATTACACTTATAAATAGCGCTATATTGCAATTTTATAGCGCTGCATATCATGGAAGATTAATTTTATAGTGCTGCATTGCAATTTACAGCGGTATATTACAATTTTATAGTACTACCTATTTACTATAAAATGCATATAGGCTTACAAATTAAGGCTCTAATAAAGTACATTGCGCAGTCTAGCTCTAATTGGTAAGTGCGGCCTGCCTAACTGCAAATAGCAATTGATCTTACTTTTTGAATGTTCAAGCTACGAGGGATACTTTTCAAGCCGTCCCTTTATGCAATTCAAATCAGCCGGCTGAAAAGTATTCAGGTGAATTGCATCAGGGCCTCGGCGTGATTTTCACGATTTTCCGAAATTTTTCGGAATTCTAGAATAACGCTGCAGCGGGCGTTTAAAATCGAATAAAAATGCAATACGCGGTTAAGATCAGTCGTTCGACATCGATTCTGTTATTTCCAGTCGTTTTCTATGTGTGACAGGTGGTTTTGGCGGCCTCGGGGTCGTGGATTGGATGCTGTTAACGTGTTGTTGTTTTTTCTAGGTTTTTTTGCACAGAAAAAGGGTCATTTGGCTGTGTGTGCCGCTCTTCGTGGTGTTCAAGGGTAGTCTCTTCCCGTTCCTTCATCCTGATAGGTTTGAACACAAGTTCATGCCGACGTGACTAGGACCACTGGCCAGGCAATGAAAGGATCGACTCAACGCTGCCCCTGAAAGCAACTGATGATGCCATACTTCCGAATTTCCAGTCTATAATCCGTAGATGGGTTGTTGTCAACAGCCACGTATCTGTATCGGAGCGTCAGCCGAAATCCTCCTCCTCCGAACTTCTCCGGTCAAAGCCCCTGTAATGCAACTCAAAGTTGACTGGTAAGCGTAACATAACTGCAACATAGTGCCATGCAAAGCGGCATACAGCCTCCGGCATGTCGGGGCGGCCACACCACAGGTAGATCGCGATCGAAATATTACTGCCTCTCATTTTCCATGTAAATATCTAATCTCCAGACCAAAATTTCATCTTTTCTTCTACACTATTTCCCGTTTCGGGCCAATCACATCATTGCCATATTCATTCAACAGACGAATAAAAAGTTCCATCGTCAAGCAGGCAACGCATACAATTCAAACACCCAAGTTATAACAGGACCACCAAACCGTCGAAAATGGTTATCTGCGAGAATGTTCTGTACACCAAGGCTAGCGCCGGACAGTTATGTAAGGTAGGCAGGTTGGAGACCATCCCAACATCATCTCGGTGATTGGGCTGGATCCGGTGATAGAGAGAGAAGTGGCTAAATGTCACCACAGGCTCTGGTCCTCAGGCTGGTGACGAATCCCCTCGTCGTCCAGTTTGCTAGGAACGCCGGCTTCGATGTTGTGTGGGTCGAGATGGAGCACTCGACCTACTCTATTACTGAGGCCAGTATGCTCGCGAGCGCGGCCATGATGGCCGGCATGACGCCCATTGTTCGCGTGCCGTACCAGTGCGGCATGGGTTACGTTCAGCAGGTCCTGGACTCTGGGGCCATGGCGGTCGTCTTCCCGCACATAGTCTCGGCTGCGGAGGCCAAGGCAGCCGTCAAGATGTGCAAGTTCCCCCCGTATGGGAAGCGGTCGCTGTGGCTCCAGCAGGCTGCCGTGGGCCTCCGTACCATGCCGATGCAGATTATGGCGGACGAGGTCAACTCATGCGCGTCGGCTGTGGGTGTCATGATCGAGGCCGAAGAGAGTATTACAAACGTCGACGCCATTGCGGCGGTTGACGGCGTCGACATTCTCATAGTCGGCTGTATCGACCTGTCGAGTGATATGGGTATACCCGGCCAAGTTGATGCACCTAAGTTTAGGGCTGCGCTCAAGGCTGTCAGCGTGGCATGCAAGCGCCACAACAAGGTCTTCGGACTGGCTGGTAACTATAAGGACCTCGACTTCCAGGACTGGGTCATTAACACTCTAGGGGTTCGTCTGATACTGGCTCATGTGGACTCGAACCTCATCTCGGTCGGCGCGATGGAATGTGCAGAGAGGATAGCCTCCATTGATCGAACCGTTCTGCCTAACTAGGAAATGGATTGTGGGTGGAGTCACGGGAACATGATTATAGAAATAGGAGTCTTCGTTATATGTTAGATTTTCGTAAGATAGAGAGAAACAATTGAACAAAGGCAGACTAGTCAACGCTGGGCCTTGAAAACTCCTCTGCTTGTTGCGATCATGCAATTTCCTCCCTTTTGTCTTTATGGAGGAGCAGCGGCCTATTCGATAGTAGTATCTCACTAATGTGCACAATTACAATTGCATCATGAGATCAAACGATTTGATATTATCGTGTACTAGCTTGCCTACCCCCAAACTTTTAAAAACAGATTTCATGTTTCATCTTGGACATTGTAACATCAGAGCCCGAACTGCATTAAATGGAGCCATGTTTAGGACATTTCGCCTAACTATTCTTAAGAGGGTCAAGAACCCTAGTTAACTCAATGCTAACCTTGGCAGGTCCAATCCAGCTCTTCCGTTTCCTCTGCTGCTCTTTAAACTCCATAAGGATACAAGAGCTTGGGGTTAGGTACAGGACCACGCAACATATATATATACTCATAAAGCTTCTCAGGCCAACACGAACTCAAGTACACCAAAATCATCAAATTCAGACGCAATTTGCTGGAATTCCGCATTGAGCTTGAAACCAGCTTGCGCAGCTAATTCGCTGAACATGGCGGCGTTTCGCCTCTTCCCGGCAGCGCACATAAGACAGATGTCCAACCCGACATTCATGGGGATACGCTTTGGGTTCAGCATCTCCTCAATAATCAGAATGCGTGAGTCGGGAGCCACTGCCTTTCGCACATTATGGAAGGCCCGCAGGACGTCCTCATCGGGGAAATCGTTGAGGATCCGGCGGAACTGGTAGATAAGGGCACCCTGGACGTTTTTGGGATACGGCTCGAACATGCTTCCGCTTATCATCTGGATATTCTGCAGGTCCTCGTCCTGTTCCTTCGCGACGTTTTTCTTGGTATTCTCAATAACTTCTGGGAGATCGAAGAGAATGCATCTCTCGGCTGGGAGAAATTTGTTGTTGCGGATTGCATCGCGCAGGGCGAGACCGTGGCTCCCACCGATATCTACGATAGCCGCTCGCGACCCAGAACCGAGAGGCTCCCGCATCCAGCCGAAATCGTAGATGCCCTTCAGTGAGTACATGACTCCGAGCGCCTTCAGCGCTTCATTGAATCCCTTGTGCACGACTTTGTTTTCAACGAGGATCTCGTAAGCGGGCCTGTTTTCGAAACCGTGGCTAAGGCCAAGAGGTGTGACGCTGGCGCTCTGAGGCGAAGCCAAACCATGCTTCGCGAAGAAGTTTGGCATCTGGGCGAAGGAGCGGAACACATTGTTGAACATGTGAATGTAGAGCCAGGCGGTAGGCTCGTCGTACTTGTAAAGACGAGACCTTTCCGTGTGAGCGACGCGGCCAGGGCCTGTAGATGCAAGGACCTTGCCGGAGATAAAGAAGGTGGTCATACGGTCGATCACTTCATGCGTGCCACCGATTTTGGCGGCCAACTCGGCCACGGAGATGTCACCCTCATCCGGGATGGCATCGAAGCCCTTGTAGTCAATGAAGACCTTGATGAGCGTGAACTCAGCGGCAGAGAAGACGGGGTTGCCGATGTCGTGGTACGCCTGTTGAATGCGGGCACGAGCATCTGTGTTTGAACCCATTTTTCTTTGATGTTTGCGTCGTCTTTGTTTTTGCCTTCTTCTTCTTGGACAGCAGAGAGAAATTGATCTGATCTTGTGGAGACGACGAGTACTGTTTCTGTAATTAATAGCTCTCAACCCTCTTTACAGTCGTGGCTCGGGGCTTTTCGGTGGAGAGGTGTTTGCATGCAACCCGAACGGTACCGATTCCGGCAATGTTTGATCGGAGGTTCATTCATGGAATACGCCTGTTGCAGCGGCTGACAGAGAAATTCATGATCTTTCTTCGGTGCAACTCGGAAGCCCGGCGGTGGATGGTTCATAACCATCCTCCTACTATGTGCCAACCTTGTGTTGATACGAGTCTACAGTCGTCGGCTTCCTAACCATCTTGCCAGATAAGATCATGGTTACTGGAGGTTGTTTTGAGGTGGAATTACACGACAAGATGCCTAGAAAATCTTTCAGTTTCCCCCCACGGGTCTCCTCGACTCGCCTGTCCTAGCTGCACCTAACTAAGTTTTGAAGAGATAGACCCCTCCCTTGGGCCGACAAATAGTTCAAGTTAAAGGCTGACTAATTTTCGGCTCAAGAGTCCCTTGGACTGTCGTCCTCTAGGATTTGTCTAGAATTGTAACTGTTCATCTCCCGGGGGCTACCTCTGCTAGGTTACCACAGTTGGCTGGTGACCGTTGTCCTGAATGAGCATTCTCATGCGGCCCCCTGTTCCGTCCATCTGCTTTCCGCAAACGGATATATGCCTAAACTACGGAGTATCGCTGTCGTAATCTCGCATAAAATAACCAATCAACGCCCTAGTTGACGAAGCTAACAAGCAATGGTTTAGAATCTAATTGTTCTTTCTCGCGTGGATGGCATGATTGGCCCGTACTATTAAGAGTCTCTTCGGCTTCGCTCAGAAAGCCAAGGATCAAATTCTCCAAAAACAAAAAGATTCATGAATTCTCTCATCGTGATGCCGGCGGTACTCAGCGAGGGTTGATGACTGAGGGTCGGAATATGCACGGCGATAGTATTTGCGCCGCTACCGAAATAGTCCGGCATGCCGAAATGCCGAGTTAATCCTCATCCACTCACATTCTTGCAATGCGCATCCATTATCATTATTTGCCCGGTATCGAGCTCCCACTGTTGAAAATAGTGTACAGGTACGTAGGGTCATGTCCAGGTCAGGACACACACTGCGAGCTAGCGCGACTATGTATGTATTCCGCATAAGTAAGGATCTTACGCCCACCTAGGCTTAGAGTGATGCAATTTATCCCATATTTTGACAACATCATCTATCACCTTGTTAAATCTTCTTGTGGACTTCCAGCATATCTCTCTGCTTTGATCATGGCATTACTCGAACAGATTCCAGTCGCTGTGCCCGATAACACGTTTGCCATAATCGAAGCATTTAAAGCCGATACTGAGGAGAAGAAAGTAAACCTATGCCCTGGTATTTACCGCGACGACAATGCAAAGACGTGGGTTCTACCTTCCGTAAAGAAGGTAATTAACCCCCCTTGATCACAGGACTGTCCAGATCTTCAAGCCCAAGGTTGCTTAGAAAGATTTCCTGCGTGCGAGTTCCTCTACTCCTTTACAATTACCCAGTATCCTTCTCTTTACCTCCCCTTGTGAGTTCGATGGGTTAGGCCACACGACACTGACCTCCCTCAGGCGAGAGAAATCATCCAGGCGGACCCGCATCTCAACCATGATATCTCACCTCAGATGGGATACCCTGATCTGGTCTCCACTGCGCGACAGATTACCTTTGGGGATACGTTGGGTAGCCGGAGTATTACTTCGATGCAGACTATCGCAGGCACTGGTGCCAACTACCTGATTGCACGTTTCCTGTCTTGCGTCGCTCAACCCAAAACCGTATGGCTGTCCAATCCTACCTGGGAGAATCACCCAAAGATCTGGAGACACACCAACCCCGCCATGGAACAGCGTTTATACCCCTATTATGACTACAAAACATCCACGCTAGATATTGAAGGCATGATCTCAACGATGAAGGAGCAAGCATCGAGAGGGGATGTTATAGTTCTCCAGGCTTGCGCGCACAACCCAACCGGTTTGGACCCTTCAAGGGAACAGTGGGAGGCTATCGCAAATGTATGCGAGGAAAAGGGCTTGTTCCCTATTCTTGATTCAGCTTAGTTCGTCTGTCACACCACATTTAATGGAACGAGCGATCTCATGAGGGTCAGCTCGTTAACTAACTTGTCCTGTATTTGACAGTCAAGGCTTCGCAACAGGAGACATCGACAATGACGGTTGGGTGCTACGTCACTTTGCCACCCGCTCGAACGGCGCCATTGAGTTCGCGGTGGCCCAATCGTTCTCCAAGAACTTTGGTCTCTATGGAGAGCGAGTCGGTGCTCTGCACGTTGTGACACGCAACCACAACACCGCAGCCAAAGTGGAGGCAACATTAAAACAGATCTCACGCGCCGAGATTACTTCCACGCCTAGCTTCGGGGCCAAGGTCGTCGCTACCATCGTTCAAAACCCAGATCTGAGGGAGCAATGGCAACAAGACCTAAATACCATGAGCGGTCGGTTGAGGGACATGCGAAGACGACTGCACGGCGAGTTAACGAAGAGAGACACACCTGGTAACTGGCGGCATCTCTTGACCGATGTAAGCATCCATGGGTCTTCAAGTATCGATTTATGCAAGGCTAACTCACAGCTACGAAAAGATTGGCATGTTCTCCATGACGGGACTATCTCAAGAGCAAGTGACAACCCTTAAAGACATGTTCCATGTCTACCTTCTTCCCACTGGTCGGCTTTCGTTCACAGGCTGTAAGTGACAACGCATTGAGGCTATTGCTTTCTTTCGTTTTATCTCGGCTAACAGTTATCTCAAGTGACAACCGGAAACGTTGAATATGTTGCAGAGTCCATCCATCAAGTTATAACATTGTAGATACCAACAAATTTCAGCCGCAGCCGTTTGGTACGCGTGCGTGGGAGGAAATACGAGTTCTTATAAAGAGACAAAGTACGGCATCCATTTTTCAATTGGAAGTAGAGCCGTATTTCTCACGGTGCAAGTGAAGCAACTTCCTCAAAGAAATCGCTCAGCTAGAAAGCTTTCGGATAAATAGTCTGGTGGCATCCTCTGTGCTTTCCAATTTTAACTACACAGATGTTTAGTGATAAATTTGACTGAACAAGGGAGTCGAAACAACACACCAAAGAGACGGTCCATTTTTACGCCGACACTCATGGTAATAAATTTGATGATTCCTTTGGCCATGTGTTCTGTCGCTCTGGGTTTCTGCGAAATGTCTCTTTGTGTGGATGCTGTGTTTTACTCTTTGTGATTAGGCTCTTAAAAAAAGTCTACTCCGTCAATAGAACATGACTCCTTTAGAGCCTGGTACTATATGGCTGTAAATTCCAACAACCCGCCTCCACGTTGGTCCTTCGCACTGCGCTAGCATTAGTAAACCCGGGACCGTTTCTACTTTCATTAGCCCTTGAACAACAAACCTATAAAAAATAAGGTGGTTTGCACTTTTTTTTTTCCCGCATCACAGGAATACGAACACTGAGGCAGATAGGCAGGCGGCTACTGTAATAACTCAGCCTATCCAAACACAAATTAGAGTATTGGATTGAGGGGTAACCCGATTCAAGCTGCATCAACTCGTGACCCTTTTTAGGTATCTTCGATGCCTTTCCTTTTACCGTTAAATAAGCTCTTTTCGTCCCAATTTCCTCTTTCATATATATAATCGATCTCGCTGCCTTGGGAACCAGTGCCGTCGCCGTCCTCCAAGGTTTGCGTGCAATCTTTGTGCTTGACGCATTCTCTGCGTTGGCATCAGTTTCGGACTCTGACTTGCTCTGCTTCGGTGAGACTCTTTTACAATGGTGAGATCAGCCATTATATCCTTCGGCTTGCTAATATTCATAGTTCCCGATTGATAATGAGCCGTTCTTGAGTGCATTCGGTTGAGGGTCTATTCGGGACATATGTGGCTTAACAAAAGCTGCATGCGCCTTTCTCGCGATTTTCTGCATCATCCACGTACTTCTAGTCTTCACTTTACCCAAATACAGGTACAAATACGTTCCCACTGGGCGAATGGTTCGAACAAGCCGTCATGAAGGAGCTTCAAGTACTTCCGGTAGGACGCTTCCAGGTATCCATAAATAAGCATGCATCTTAAGAACTAGATGTGCTGATCTGTATCTCTTTAGCCTTCATCATCGTATACTCCTCCTAAGGCGCCCGAGGGATTGTACCACTCCGGGCCTGGCGTGTGTTGGGTTGGTTATCCGTTGATAGGAGATTGGTGCTCCTATGGGACGTGCCGCCGACCAAGCGCTCCGAGTTCGAGTCGGAACAGCAACGGAAGGATGTGTAGGATCTCGATTTAGGCCCTTGCTGTAGTGTCCATGGAGCATGTTGGCTGCCTAGAGACCGTGTCCGCTGTTCCATCGGGATTTTCATGGTTTTTCGAGCGGGACATTGTTGCCTAGATGCTGATCACAGCATCAACACCGGAACTGAAAAGAAACAGGCTTCGAATTGTCCACTAATAGACTCTGTTAAAGCTGTCTTGGATACCTCCTTACATGTCGCAGTTATTGTGGAAGCATTGCTCAATATTGTCCATCTGTTCTCATGCAATCTATCAGCCATTTTGGTCCCGGTTGTAAAGGGAGAGATCCTGACCTGCTTTCATTATTGGCCTGCCCAAATCGCGTCCATCGCTTTCTTCTCTTCTTCAATTGCTTAAGTAGTCCGGGCCATATTAGACGCAGCGCTAGTTGCAGTAGTCCTCCATTCACAACATCACCCAGGTCTATACAGTCCCTCTGATTCTTATCACATAGGACGATGAAAAGGGATGCTATTGCAGATGCATGATCCGACGAACTCAGGAACCTATATCGTAGCTCAACTTGCTACCAAGACATAATGCCATCCAGGATGCCACCAACAAGAGCATGTGACCATCTACATCGAGTGTTACAGT